AGTAGGGTATATAGGGGGATTCTAACTCGGGAGCTCCGAGGGGGGAGCGGGGCGGGGGGGTACCCCGCGGCGAGGGGACAGCGGGGAGGGGGGTACTCCGTGGCGCGGGGGCCGCGGGGAGGAGGGAAGTACGCGACCTTGACGTCACGCAAGGTGCTGACCTGTCACTACGTGACATGTAACAGATATCTAGGTGCTGATCTGTCATCGAACACCTGGACGCGTATGAGTCACGGGGTCAAGCGTCGAAACCTGGCTGATGACTTTCTTATCAAGGTGAACGATGTCGAGAAGTTCCGCGTTTATTATTCCACAGCGCTTGGCTATCCGCGGGGAGGGAGATATTCCGCGGCGATCCGCGAGGACGCGGGGAGGACCGCAGCACTACGCGATCCGCGGCGCGGGGAGGTCCGCGGCGCGAGGCAATCCGCGACACATGCATGTAATAGATATCATCGGAAGATGACGATATACAAATGATTAGCGCATACACACAGCTGCGCGCATCCATGGCATGAGTCATGAGGTCAAGCGCCTAAACCTGGCTGCTGACAGCGACTTTCTTGTCTAGGTGCGTGATGTCAGAGAGTTCTGCGTTTAAACTCGCACCTACTGTGTCAGCATGTAATAGATATCACCGAGGATGCCTTTGATTAGCACCGATACCACAGCTACACGTATTATTTTCCATGGTATTGTGGCGAGTATATCGTCAAATCCAACGGCTATAACGCGCGAATAGACAAATCACAGATACACATACAGGCGAGACGCGACGAGAAAAACAAAGACAGCTGGGCGAAAACAAAGGCACTGGCGAAATTTAAACTGCGGTGACTTTGAGCCGAGGAAACGATCTAAGGTTTTAGGAGACTCGACCGAGAGACGTGCTCGCGTGCGGACGTGTGATCGAGAGAAAGATCTAATTGTGAGAATCTCGAGGACGGAGAATAAATTGTTCTTGCATCATATTCTGTACGATAAATCTAATTATTCCCGCACGCCTAACGATCCTAAAGTGGTGACCCCGACGTGATCGTTCTCCACGGACAGTTTTTTTTTTTTGTGATAAAAGTGAATTTCGGGATCGGAGCACGGTCGAGCCAAGAGACTTTTTTTTAATACGAATCAATTCGCCATCGGTCGCGAGGCGAACGCGTAAGAGACACGGTGCAATGGTGTTGACGCGTGAGGAAGAAGCAGCCGCTCAGCTGGCGGCGGAGCAACAGCAACGGCTAATCGAACAGACACGTCAGCATCTGGAGAACGAGACCCGCGCGCGTGAGCAGCAGAGACTGCAGTCGGCGCAGCATCCGGGGGTGACGCAGCCGATAGCGTTGGAGCAGCCACCAGGGTTTTTCTTGCCGGGCGCTGAGGTGAGTCGCGTGGGCATGCGAATGCCGGAGTTCACGCCGGCTGACCCTGAGCTATGGTTCAGTATCGTCGACCGTAGTTTCCAAGCCGCCGGGATAACGGTCGACGCGACAAAGTTCGGGTACGCGTTGACATCCATCGGCCCGCGGTACACGACCGAGGTACGCGACATTATAATGAATCCGCCCGCGGAACGGGCGTACGAAACGCTGAAGGCAGAGCTGGTCAAGCGGCTTAGCTTGTCGCAGGAGCACAAGACCCGGAGACTCCTCGAGCACGAGGAAATAGGCGATCGAAAACCGTCGCAATTTTTGAGGCATCTTCGCGGCCTCGCTGGGAACGTCGTCGGCGACCAGGTGTTACGAACGATTTGGCTGAGTCGTTTGCCGGCGTACATCCAGCCGCATTTAGTGACGCGCACAGCAGATACGCCCGAACAATTAGCGGATATCGCGGATGCAATAGTCGAGGCGACTCGGGCGCCAGCGTTTCAGGTAGCAGAGACGACCAGATATCCCGCGCCCCAGGGCCAGAGCACGAATGACTCTGCTTCGATTGAAGCAAAGATAGAAATACGTTTAGCACAGATGCGATTGGCGATGCAGCAGGAGATTTCGGAGCAGTTGACGGCCATTCGCAGATCAATCGAAGCGATTAGCGGCGATCTTCGCGATGACGATCGGCGTCGTCCGCGCTCGCGTTCGCGTTCACGTTCGCGCCCGCGTTCGCGCCAGAGTGCGCGATCGGGAAGCCGTGATCCTCCAGCAAGCGGTATATGCTGGTATCATTGGAAATTCGGACCAGGTGCCCGGCACTGTAGGGCACCCTGCTCGATGCAACAGCAGGAAAATGCGGTGGCCGGTCGCTAGTGGCGGCGAGCGACTCGGGCCATAGTGCACGTCGCCTTTTCGTTACCGACAAGGAAACGAAGGTCAGCTTTCTGGTTGACACGGGGGCTGACCTTTGTGTTTATCCGCGGAAAATGATGCGCGGCCCGTTACAGAAATCTACGTACGAACTTTCAGCCGCGAACGGGACAATTATTCACACGTATGGCACAAGGTCTATGACATTGGATTTCGGATTGCGGCGTGCTTTTGTGTGGCGTTTCGTTATCGCGGACGTATCAAGACCGATTGTCGGGGCGGATTTTTTAGCATATTACGGATTATTGGTCGATTTGCGAAATTCTCGGCTGGTAGACGGAGTGACAAGTCTGACCGCGAAAGGACGCTGTATACGGTGCGATGCACCATGCATTAAGACGGTGACGGGCGCAACGGCGTATCACGAGTTGCTGACGAAGTACCCTGACGTAACGAGACCGGAGGGACGACCGAGCGAAATAAAACACGATACGCGTCATTTTATCAAAACGACACCGGGGCCGCCGGTGGCATGCAAGCCGCGAAGACTTGCGCCAGAGCGTTTGGCGGCCGCGAAGAAGGAGTTCCAGAAGATGGTGGAGCTCGGCATCGCGCGACCTTCTAAGAGCTGTTGGGCAGCACCGTTGCATTTGGTGCCGAAAAAGGGCGAGGAATGGAGGCCCTGTGGTGATTATCGGGCGCTCAACGCGCGAACGATCCCGGATTGCTATCCGGTGCGGCATATTCAGGATTTCGCACAGACCCTGCAGGGAAAAAAGATCTTCTCGACCGTGGATCTCGTCAGGGCATATCACCAGATTCCGGTCGCCGACGAGGATATCCAGAAAACGGCAATTACCACACCGTTTGGAATGTACGAATTCCCGTGCATGTCTTTCGGGTTGCGCAACGCAGCGCAGACTTTCCAGCGATTTATTGACGAGGTTCTGCGGGGTCTGGAATTTTGTTACGCGTATATTGACGATATCCTCGTCGCATCGTCAACAGAAGAGGAGCATCGGATGCATCTCGAGATTTTGTTCAAGAGGCTGCGAAAGTACGGAGTGGTCATCAATCCAGCCAAATGCATATTTGGGCAACCAGAAGTGGAGTTCCTCGGCTACTCCGTGACAGGAGAAGGAACGCGACCGTTGTCTGCGCGGGTGCAGGCCATCCGGGATTATCAGGCGCCGAAGACGGCGAAAGATCTGCGGCGGTATTTAGGCATGCTAAACTTCTATAGAAGATTCTTGCCGAAAGCTGCCGAGGTACAGGCACCGCTCAATGACCTCCTTCAAAATAACACGAAGGGGAAGGAGCCGGTGTTGTGGACATCGCGAGCGCAACGGGCGTTCGAAGAGACAAAGGAGAGCCTGGCGCGGGCCGTTTTGTTGGCACATCCGAGGATGAACGCGGACTTAGCGTTGTTCACGGACGCGTCAGGTCACAGCGTCGGTGCGGCGCTACAGCAGCGAGGTGATAACGGTTGGGAGCCTCTAGCGTTCTTCTCGAAAAAGTTGAGCCCCGCCGAATCTAAATATAGCGCGTTCGATAGAGAGTTGTTGGCGGTGTATCTCGCGATTAAATATTTTCGACACATGTTAGAAGCACGAACTTTTACAATTTACACGGACCATAAACCGTTGACCTTCGCGTTCCGGCAAAAACCGGACAAGTGCTCGCCGCGCCAATTTAGACATTTGGATTTTATAAGTCAGTTCACGACATTCGATATATACCAGGGCCAGATAACGTTGTTGCTGACACATTTTCCAGAATTGACGAGTTACAGATGCCCATGGACTATAAGAGGCTGGCTGCATCGCAGAAATCCGACGAGGAGCTTGGAGGTTTGTTGAGCCGGGAGTCGGGCTTGCGACTGAAGGAAATCGCGATCCCTGGAACCGGTGTAACCGTGTTATGCGACACGACGACCGCGACGCCGCGGCCATTCCTGACGAGGCCCTTCCGCCGAACCGCATTCGACAGTATCCACAACCTGGCTCACCCAGGAATCAAAGCGACGGTCAGGCTCATAGCTCAACGCTATGTTTGGCCGTCGATGAACACAAACTGTCGAGAATGGGCCAGGGCATGTGTGCAGTGTCAGCGAGCCAAAGTCACGCGCCACGTCGCGGCACCCTTGGGAGCGTTTGCTGCGCCGTCCAGGAGATTCGAGCATATCCACTTGGACATAATTATAATGCCGGTCTCAGAGGGGAAGAGATATTGCCTCACCTGCGTCGATCGCTTCACGCGATGGCCAGAGGTTTTCCCTCTGGAGGACCAGGAGGCGGAAACGGTCGCGAGAGCTTTCTTCCAGGGCTGGATCTGCCGGTTTGGAACGCCGTTGCGGGTGACCACTGACCAGGGGCGTCAATTCGAGTCGCATCTTTTCCGTCAGCTGAGTGAGCTGACGGGAACGTCGCATCTGAGGACAGCAGCATACCATCCGCAAGCGAATGGTATGGTGGAGCGCTTTCATCGCCAGCTCAAGGCGGCGATAAAGTGCCACCGGGACGGCCAGTGGACTCGGACGCTGCCGACGGTTCTACTGGGCATACGAGGTGCCTGGAGAGAGGATCTAAAGGCGACGGCGGCCGAACTCGTCTACGGAGAGACGATCCGACTTCCGGGGCAGTTTCTGAGTCGACTGCCATCAGATGATACGAGCGACGGCGCCAACTACGTGAAGGAGTTGAGGCGTCGCTTCGACGATTTGCGCCCGGTCGGGGGAACTTGCCACGGACAGCGACGTCCTTTTGTGTTCAAGGACTTGGCGACCGCTGGCCAGGTGTTCATTCGGCACGATGGACCGAAGACGATGCTGCGACTGCCCTACGATGGCCCGTTTGCGGTTGTAAGCCGTAGCGACAAAGATTTTGTCGTACGGGTGCACGGGAAAAATATCACGGTCTCGATAGACCGTTTAAAACCGGCATATTTACTTGCAGATGATATAGCAGGCGACGAGGCACAAGCACCAGGGTCAACGGCACTCGACCAAAATAATAACACGGACGGAAGCTCGAGACAAACGGAGAGCGCGCAGCCCGTGCAGGAGCGAACGGCAAACGTGAGGAGATCAGGAAGAAGGGTTCGATTCCCGGATCGCTTCCAGGCGGGACTATAGTGCGACAAATAATACTTGTTTTTTTGTTGTTGTTCCTTTTGCGTCTCTGTATGAGCATTATTGATAATCAGTATGCATGCATCACCTGTTTGGGCGATGATAGATTTAATGACGGCCGTATATAGGTACAAACTTTGTAATGGAATTGACGCGAGCACGTAAAAGCACACACGACGGGGTTATCTCTATCGCACCTAGTCATTTATATTTCTTTTTTTTATATACTACTCACGACTAGCTATCATGCCTATGGACCCAAAAATTTTTGTTGTATTCTAGATTGTAATGCGTTAGGTATGCGCCGCGTGAATTTAAATCATATGAAGCAGTAAACAGTGCGACGGCCGCGCTGTCAATCCCGCAGTATGTAGACACGCGTATTTATCGTGCTATTAGTATAGCACTGGCGGGGGAGTACTGTGGCGAGTATATCGTCAAATCCAACGGCTATAACGCGCGAATAGACAAATCACAGATACACATACAGGCGAGACGCGACGAGAAAAACAAAGACAGCTGGGCGAAAACAAAGGCACTGGCGAAATTTAAACTGCGGTGACTTTGAGCCGAGGAAACGATCTAAGGTTTTAGGAGACTCGACCGAGAGACGTGCTCGCGTGCGGACGTGTGATCGAGAGAAAGATCTAATTGTGAGAATCTCGAGGACGGAGAATAAATTGTTCTTGCATCATATTCTGTACGATAAATCTAATTATTCCCGCACGCCTAACGATCCTAAAGTATGATCAAGCGCCGAAACCTGGCTGCTGACAAAGTCTTTCTTGTCTAGGTGCATGATGTCAGAGAGTTCCGCGTTTAAACTCGCACCTACTGCGTTAGCATGTAATAGATATCACCGAAGATGCCTCTGATTACCACCGGCACAGCTGCGCGTATTCTTATTTTCCATGTTATGAGTCACGGGGTCAAGCGCCTAAACCTGGCTGCTGACAGTGACTTTTTGTATAATCCGTCCGGAAGCCCGCTGCACCACAGTAGGAGATTTCATACGAGATTGAGAAGAAAAACATTGTGGACAGTATAAAGTCTGAAAAGACGCTAGCGCGACAACATGAAACAACGAGAGCAAGATCTGGTGGAACGAGCCGACAGGATCACCACATTAGGTGATTATTTGGGGTGGCTGCAACAATGCTACGAATGTATCGCAGAGCTAGAGGAACACAGCCGTGTCAAACGTCCAAGGCTATCCATCGGTAACAGACAATCGCTGGTGGCTCGAATCGCGCGACTCGAGAGTGTCAAGTGCCGAGTTGAAAGACGATTTGTACATTTCGGGGGTGGCGATGCAGGGCCTTCTTCGAGAGTGCAACTGTCGTGGCGCAAGATCGACACCGCGTTCGAAAACCGCGTGCTTACCGGTGCGGTGATTAACGCGGAGTACATTGAACCGCGCAAATTTCTCGAGAACGCTCGCGATATCGTGATCGAGCACGTGCGAGACGCTATCGAGCGATATAATTGTGTAAAGGCGAATACCGCGTTCAACGGGGAGTTTGTGGCGGGTGATAAACGTGCGAATAAAAGCATAAATACAAAAAACTGTTTATTACAACGAACCTACAACTGTGGTACGAGTCGCGCATAATCGGTCCGACTCTAGCTGAACTCGAAGAGTTTCAGGAGCGTGATAGCGGGTGGGCGTTGTCGCGTATAC